GCCTGCTCCCGCCACCTGGTGGCAGGCATGGGTCCTCACCTGGAACAGCCACCGGAGCAGGGGCACAGGGCAGCCGGGCCGGTGCAGGTAGAGGTTGCTCAGGAGGCCACTGCGCAGGAAGGAGAGCTGCTGGGCCAGCGGGGAGCTGCGGGGCAGAGGAGCGGAGCCAGGTTAGGGGGCTCCAGCCGGCCGGCGGCCTGGCAGCCTTCCTTCACCATGACTTCAGTAAAACGGGGTGGGGGATTGTCGAGTTTCAGCCCCACCAGGATGCTAGAATCATGTCAGCATCGCTATGGACAAACACGTTTGTAGAGCCCAGGACGCAAGCAGCTGGGAGGGCAAAACTGCTCTCAACAGAATCACCTGCTCCCCGTGAGCACATCTCACAGTGCTTTAAACACGCTGTCCTTCCCACTGGACAGAGGGGGACTGAGGGGTTCACCTGGCTGACTGGGGGATCCGAGGCACCTCAGGGGAGAATCGGGAGTCACAGCCACAGCCTAGGGCCCCACCATTGGGGGCAGAGTTACCACAGGGCCCACGTGGGCCAGCGTCCGGACTCCGATTACACGGCGCTTTTCTGCCTGGGCTGTTTTTCCGAAACAAAGGGGACACCTGAGAAGATGGGGAAATAATAGAAAGGGGCTGTAGGCAGGGAAATTCTGGGAAGCAAATCACAAACAAGGGTGCCGCCGAGGACTCTAGAAACCATGTAAGCAGCAGCGACCCAAGTCCAGGGGACTGGCACCCAGGCACCACCTGCCTGTGGCCCGAACCAGAGCCCCACTCAGGGCAGCGTCCTAACAGGAGCCTTCAAATCCCACTGCCACATGGAGAGGAGCCTGAGCCCACTGGCCTGCTGGCCACCCTGTGACCAGGAGCTGAAACGCTCCAGGTGGCTCTAGGGCAGGGGTCCTCAAACTGCGGTCCACGGGCCACATGCAAATACAAATATTGTATTTGTTCCCGTTTTGTTTTTTCACTTCAAAATAAGATATGTGCAGTGTGCATAGGAATTTGTTCATAGTTTTTTTTAAACTATAGTCCGGCTCTCCAACGGTCTGAGGGACAGTGAACTGGCCCTCTGTTTAAAAAGTTTGAGGACCCCTGCTCTAGGGCCTCAGAGGAGCTCCGGAAGCCACTTTGGAGGGTCCCTGGCTTCATCCCTGGGGGACTGGGGCAGGGGAGCCTGTCCTGCGCTGCATTGGTGAGCACCCTTTGCTCTCGGGACAGTCCTAAAGGCAGTTAATATGGATTCCAGGAGATGGGAATGTAACTTCCCGTTTGTTCTTGCTTTGATGGCCAGGCCCACGCCAAGATTTTAGACAGCATTTAAAATCCTGACTCCAGATAGAGAGTCCTCGGCCAGCCCACCCTCTCCTTTTTACAAAGGACATAGTTTATTCTGTGAGGCACGGAATGCTCCAGAACAAAGGTTCTCCTCCAAGCCAAGATGCTGTCTCCTTGAGTATGTCCAGGCAATTTACAAATTGTTTATATTTTCCAAGTCATTTAAGTTCAGAGGAGAAAGCAGCTTTCCCCCTGTGTTTGTGAAGTTGACGGCTCTAAAATAGACCTTTATTTGTTCATGAAACATGTGTGTGCCCCGGGGCTGCTGGTGCACTGCTCGGCTCCATGCGCTTGGTCACATGGACACTTTCATGGACTGACCCCATGATGCCCGCGTGGTTCAAGCACAGAACCCCGGATGCAGACAATACCCAGGCAAACGATGTCTGGAGGACCTCACAGACCAGCAGGACTTGACCAGGGGCCCCGTGGCAAGGAGGCTGGTGCTCCAGGGACTCTCAGGAGACTGTGGCATTCTGTTGGGGCAGTGGTCGGCAAATTGTGGCTGGGCAAACCACGGCTCGCGAACCATATATGGCTCTTTGGCCCCTTGAGTGTGGCTCTTCCACAAAATGCCGGCTCTTCCACAACATACCGACTTCTGCGCATGGACCACGAAGTTTCAATCGATGTGGCTCGTGAGCCACGGTTTGCAGACCACGGTGTTGGGGGGACTGACCGTACAAGCCTCCGTTGGCTCAATCAATGCATTTCCAACCACTGCTCCAAGGAGTGACACCCCTCAGGTGGCAACGTCTCGCTTCTGCCTTGCCCTCTTTGCAGCACAGTTGCTGCCACAGGAATGATCAGGCTGCCTCTGGGCTCATGGCTGCCGAGTTAGGGTTAGTCTGTAAGACCAGCAGCAAGAGATGGCAGAAAAAGTGGCCCAGGGCGCCCGGAGCGAGTGGCTTTAGGAACTCTGTGCCCAGGGCTAGGCCACAAGTGCTGCTTCACCCCACGAATTCACGGGCTGCCCCTGCAGCAGAAGGGACAGGTGAGACACGAGGGACCTCCAGCTTAGTGGAAGGGCAGGAGGGCTTCACTGCACAGGGCCTGATGGGAGCAGGAGAGCCTGCAGCAGTAACTGGGAGGAAAGGGGAGGGGCAGGGGGTGTGTGCTGAGCGCTCAAACATGTGGGTCACAGACTCAGTGGTTGTTAGATTTACCAAAACCCTTGCCACGTCTACAAATCAAGAACTCGGACGCGGGGTGGCTAAGCCAACGCTACGGTCAGCAGTTATGCTGACAAGGAGCCGGGAGGAGGGAGCCTTGGTCACAGCAGATGCCGCACGGCCTGGCTGAACACAAAGCCACACTGTCCACCCCGGGGTCCCAGTAGGGAGGTTCTCACCAGGACAAGAAGCAGCCAGTCAGAAAACTGCTGATCCCCAACCCCGTGGCGAGGACGGAGGGCTCGGGAGCTGAGGGAAGGAAAGGGGAATCAGCCCCAAAGGAAAACTGCACAAAACAAGGGGGACAGCACCAAAGGGTTGGCGTGGGCCCACGCGGGTGGTTGGCAGAGCTCCGGCCTCTGCGTGGACGTCCATGCCTGATAGTGCCTTGCCAACAGTCCTCCAGCCTTCCCTCCCCCCACCTCCCGGCAGCAGTCCCAGAGGGCAGTCTCTCGGTGCCTCGGGAATCCCATGCTGGTGGAGGCATAAACACAGCGTAGCTATTTATACAGTATCAGTTTCTGCACCCTTGCCAAGTTACTCAAATGAAAGTTTAACGGCCTCCTCGGAGAACAGAAAGGAATAATGCTCAGAGCCTTCATCCCTGCTGCTCTTCTCTTCCTGGCTTTCCCTTTGTCAGAGCTGAGCAGCATCACCAGGTCAGAGGAGGGGCCCCGGCGACAGCCCTGCCTGTGGGCACTGTATTTTCAGGGACAGTCGCAGCCAGGGGTGGCTCAGTCCTGCCCAATCTCTAACTCCTGGGTTTATTTCACAGGCTTCACCCCCAGCACGCCGGGAAGAGGAGGCCCTGGCAAAGCGAGGGCTGAGGCCTCAGAGATCCAGTGCCCACGCAGCAGAGCCCTCGCAGCTCGGACCCGCCCACGTTCTCCTGTTAAAGTATTCACAGAGTGAAGCCCTGGCCTGTGCACCAGGCGCCCGCCTGCAGGACACCCCCACGCACACTGCGGGGCCAGCGGAGCACCCTGAATAATTCAGCGGGCAGCCCCCACCTTCCCTGGAGCTGCCTCCTGGCCGGGAGTGGGCACGTCCTAAAGCTTCCACTCAGGGCGTCGGATTTCCTGTTGAACTGCTGTCCAGGGAGGAGGAAAAAGTTCAGCCCGGCACCAGCTCTGTCATGAAGGCCTATGCCCTTGGTCCCAGGGAACTGTACTGAGGCCACACATCCAGCTGGGTGATGAGCAGAGGGATGGCCGGGCCACCTCCGGTGCCACAGCTGTGGGCTCGGACCCCTGTGCAGGGCCAGTCCCGGGGACACGCCAGCTGCAGCGCTCGGCTACTCATTTGCTCTGCCGTCTGAGACCAACAGCCTGCTTACTCGGTGCCAAGGATTCCCATGGTGAACAGTGGGGAGAAAGATAATCCTCCTTTTCACAGACGGGCAAGAAGCGACTCTATTTCTGGAAGTGACTTTTATGGAGGCATTCACTTTTTCTCCCCTCAGTGATAAAAATGTTCACTACAGAAGGTCTGGAAAACACAGGAGTATAAGGAGGACAGTTACAATGACCTGTAATCACAGTGTTAGCTGTCTGTACGGCAGGAAATGGAAACACTGCTTTTTTGAGATCAAGTGATCTTTTATTCTTCCTCCATTTTCGTGTTTCCGGCTGAACACAACGGGATAATTATTAAAGGACCAGTATTCCCCACTCTTGTGTCTGAACTTGAAGTCCTTGGCAGAAACAGGAACTAAAAGATGGCCCCGAGGCTAAATGGTGACCTTCAGGAAGCAGCCCTTACCCATGCGGAGCAGGGCCCGGACCAGAATGCCCTCACTTTGGGATTTGCCGGCTGGCAAGGCCGCACTGTCGTTAGCACGCCTCAGGCAGGAGGGCCTGCATTCCTTCCTCCAAGGGAGCCGGCCAGCCACCTGGCCCCATTTGGCAGGGCCGCTCAGATCCAGGTCACTGCTCCATGGGCCAGCTCATCTGTCCAACACTTCCTGCAGGCCGTTGAGCCCGGGGCAGAAGTCCTGCTGTTGGCACAAACTGTGAGGCTGCTCAGGAAGCTTCCTTCCTCTCTTGTGTCCTCCCCACCCCATTCCTGCCCGGCCTGTTCGCTATCCCCTCCTTTCTCCAGCTCCACTATCTTTCCTCTTCCCCCTTCATTCCTTTCCCCCCGTTTCATCATCTCTTTATTAGATACATTTTCAATTTGGTAAAGTGAACCTTCATCAATATTCATATGCTCAGGCCAAACCACTTCACATCACAGCCAGGGGTATACTCCAGACCTCCAGACACACACTGTGTGTGAGCACATTCTCCACACGCCGTTATAACAGGGAAGGAGGACACAGCCTGCACACCACGCAACGAGGACGGCACCAGTGCAGTGCAGCATCCTTCCCGAGCAGCGCTCGCTGTCTGCCCGCGTGCGGTGCCTACATCCTGATGTGAACATGTAGAAGACATCTATAAGACAATCAAGGAAAGCTCAACATTGATTGATAATAGGAAGCTACCGTGTTTCTTAGGTGCAATAATGGCATTGATGTAATGTCTAAAGATAGAATCCTGCTTTTAGAGACACAAATTGAAGTACATACAGATTAAATTATGTGTGTCTGGGATTTGCCTAAAGACAACCCGAGGGGACAATGCTAGTTAGGGGGCAGGAGTAGAGACGGAACAAGACGGGCTTTGAGCTGATAATTGTTGAAGTTGATGCCGGCACATGAGGCATATTATACTGCTCTTTTTACTGTTAGGTATGTTTGAAACTTTCCATGCGACTCAGTTTTAAAAGAAACACATCAAAATGTTATCTATTATTAAAAGAGTAGACTTAGAATTAATGAATCAGACACGAGGAAGCCCCAAACAGCTGGAAAAGAGAAAAAGATTCTTGGGTTCAAATCCTAATGTGGCCGAAGGGGCCACAGAGGCAGCCTGACCTTGTGAGCTGGTGGGCCAGCTGCCTCCGTGCCAGCTCCTGGCGGCCTGCACTGCACGCAGGATGCTGCGCACTGAGTCCTGCGGCTCTTTTTCTTCCGTGTATGACAGGGGTGGGCAAACTTTTTGACTCGAGGGCCACAATGGGTTCTTAAACTGGACCGGAGGGTCGGAACAAAAGCATGGATGGAGTGTTTGTGTGAACTAATATAAATTCAAAGTAAACATCATTACATAAAAGGGTACGGTCTTTTTTTTTCAATAGTTTTATTCATTTCAAACGGGCCGGATCTGGCCCGCGGGCCGTAGTTTGTCCATGGCTGGTGTATGAACTCAAACTGCAAGTGTTGCATGTTACTGTCATGAAGTTTTTTTTTAAGCCTTAAAAAGCAACATAGTCAGTGCTTATGTGATAATGATCATGAACTTCCTTCCCAGGGAAGAGGAACAGGCTGTCCTGACATTACACACAGTGTGCTCGGCCCGGACACACTCCCAGCGTCAGAGCACACAGACAGACGCAGGGCCCCGGGGAGTGGCTGGCAGTGCGGCGCATGCTCTGGAAACTGCTAGCTGGCCCAGAAAGCGGCTCCAGTGTTGGTGGAGACATAGCTCCGAAGGCATGTAGGATGACTGTGATTAAAGTCGTTTGATGAAGCTCAGGTGTGAGGGAAAAAGGCAATATGAGTACATAAATACACAGGCTAATATTTACTGAAATGTAAGGTTTAAAAAAAAAATTAAATATTGTTAGACACTGTGGCTATTTCGTCTATATCTCTAAAAGTCGACACATCCAAATGGGCCAAAACACAGCTTTGGATTTCCTCCTTTGGGGTGGTCCTCATCAGGGGCCTCCATGGGGAGGGGCCTGGTCATGCCGCACAGACACTTACCTGAGGAACTGCCTTTCCAGGTGGTTACGGGGCTCCAGGTGCGAACAGTCCAGGTCGCAAGGCAAGGGGTGATGCCTGGGTAGAAAGACGGCCTCTCCTGGGTGGACTGAGGGGATGACCTGCAGGGACATGGTGAACCTCTCCACCAGCGTCCTGGCAAAGCAAGGGAGGGAGAGCCGGTCAGCAGGCACACCTGGTCTGCAGCTGGGGCCTGGGGAGCTGGTGGGGAGGGGAGGTGGGTGAACTGAACCAGGGGGACAGCGCCACCTGCTGACGGAAAAGAACCCCTGAGATGTAGACTAAGGCAGCAGTAGCCAACCTTTCGGACCTCACGAACCCCCAGTGGTCCGCGGACCACCGGTTGGTGACTGCTGGACTAAGGGGCCCTCTCCTTTCACTCTGTCATGAACCTGACCCCTCCGTGGGTGCAGGAGCTAGAGGCTATGGTGACAACCCCAGAGTGCCCACCATGTGCAGTGCTAGGTGCTGGAGGATAGAACAGTGCCCTTGCACTTCCCAGTGCCCTCCAGCAGGTGGACAGGCCAGAGCCCAGACCTGGGTCAGCCGGGGTCAGGGAGGGCATCCTCGCCATGAAGGAGCCCAGGCTCTTCCTCAGGGCAGCGGTCCTCAAGCTCTGTGATCAGGAGGACTCCCCGGGAAGCTGATAAAATGCAGATGCCCAGGCCCCACCTTCCCTGTGAGTCTGAGTAGATCAGAGTAGGGAAAAGAAGAGGGGATACAATCCAACTATGTGGGGAGGGTACACACTGTCAGCACCATCACTGCATGAAGAGGGAATGGGGAAAGGGAGGCAGTGGGACGATTCCTGGGAATGAGGTGGCTGCACCACAATGCAGGTGGAAGAGCAAGCTGCAGAACGGGAAGCGTGTGTGTGCACGTGTGTGCGTGTGTAGGTATACACACACTCTGAATGCACAGAGCACCCCCCCACACTCCAATATCTGGCACATGCAACTATGAGCTAGGGTCAGCCCTGGGCAGCAGGATTTGGGGAAAAGGAGGCATTTCCTGTTTACTTCATACAAGTTAACAGCAACAAATTAAAGCAGCTACGGTACTGCATGCCCTCCCACACCAGAGGACTACCCCTACCCAGGATCCCAGCTGGGCTGAGACTGTGAACTCGGAGAGGGTAGCACTTGGGGTTCCCATTAGGATGTGGTACGTAGCAACGGGCACTGGAGGTGGAGAGCGAGGTGGTTGCCCGCTGCTGGCAAGGAGAACTCTCTCACTTCATGCCAAGTGCCCCACTGTCAGGGGATGACCAGAATTGCAGGTTGCCCTGAGGGTGAAGCAGCACAAAGGGGTGACCTCACACTAGGAGATTCTGACCCTGTGGCCTCTGGAAGCAGCCTGGGAAAACTGCCACACAGATGGTAAAACAATTTTCTGTTTTACTCATTTTTTTGCCATTTGAGATTGATTTCTTTGCTGTTTGAATATCCAAAGTTGCTTTTGTAATTTAAAAATGTACAAATTATTCAAAGTCTGCAAGAAGTAGGCTTACCTACAAAAAGGTCTTACCTTGTTCCCAAACCACTGTTCAAAGGGATTTTTGTGTTATTAACTATAACGTCTGTCTGTCATTCAGAGTTCTGAGATGACCCTCACACATCTAATCGAGGGCTTCCTGTGCAGCCCAGAACTGAGGATAAAGGATGCTGTTGTGGTTTAAATGTCCTCCCTCCCCCACTCCAGCACACACACAAGGTCTTTCAACTTGAAGAAATAGAGAATGTGGATGTTGTCCATTCAAACACTCGCCAGTCCTTTGCGTGTGAGCAGATGATCTGCTCAGGATGCTCAGGGTCCCTTCTGAGGGCAGCTGTGGTTACATGAGTCACAGGCGACTTGTCTGCCAGACGAGACTGGGCCCCCGCCTCAGCTCACCCCTCCAGGCCCATGCTCCTCCATGCGCCATACCCGACTCAGGGAGGGAAGAGGCTGCTGGCTTTGTGTATCAGGGAGTCATTTTCTTTGAGACAGAGAGTTGAACTGTCCCATCAACATGATCCCACATCAAAACCACCACCTCAAAGTGGCTATTGTCAACGGCCTTTCTCAAAGTCCAGCTTGAAAATGTCACGTGCCCAGAAAAGTATCAGAGATTTCCAAGCCTGAAACCCCTCCTGTCTTAAACCGGTTGCCCAGATAACTCCCTTCCTGCTAGGATTTAAAAATATCCAAGCGTGGCTTCTGTAATCCGGAGTGCACGTGGAGGAAGGCAGAGCTAGAGTAATTCTTCCTGCTGCAGAGATATTTAAAAGGCTCAATTTCAAGGCTATCTGTCCAACGAGTGGGGAACTGGAAACCAAATCCAGAGGCCCCAACATAGAGGAGCAGTGCTCTCATCACCTGTGCCGCCATCAAGGCCTCCACCCCCAAGGTTCCACCGTTTCCACGCTCAGCGCACATGCCTATACTTGTAGGCGCTGTGAGGCGCACAGCCTCTCCCCTCAGGGTCCCTGGGCAGCGCGTGAGCAGTGCTCAGCCCATCTGGCACTTGGCTCTGCAGTGAGGACGGGCAGCGGACAGGGGGTGCCGCCTGCCCAGTTCTGTAGTGAGACTTGAAGGCAGCACAGCCACTCACATGTTGTCTGCAGGGCCTTCAGCCACACAAGAGCTGAGTCCTTAAACAGACTGCATGGCCCGCAGAGCCTGAGATATTTACCGTTTACAAACTTCCCAGTACGTGTGCTGAGCTCTGATCTAGTCCTGAGGCGACTGGTTACCAAGAAAATTGCAGAAAAAAGCAAACAGTCCACCAAGGTGTCGTTCATAATAATTTCTGGTCAACAATCATATTTGGGGTCACAAACGTGGGGGCCCTCAGAAAGTCCGTGTGCTTTCACTCAACATCCTCAGCAAGTGGGTGACGAACGCACACCCCACCTATCACTGCAAACCAACACCGGATAACAGCACTCAGACCTAGGAAAGAGCAAAGCCTGCCCTGGCCGGTGTGGCTCCGTGGTTAGAGTGTTGGCCTGTGCACCAGTCAGGAACCTGTACCTGGGTTGCAGGTTCGATCCATAAGCCCAGTTGGGGTGCCTCAGCCACCTCATTCCCAGGAATCATCCCACTGCCTGCCTTTCCCCATTCCCTCTTCATGCAGTGATGGTACTGACAGTGTGTACCCTCCCGACATAGTTGGATTGTATCCCCTCTTCAATGTGTCTTTCTTTTCCCCTATCTGCCCCACTCTCTTAAAAATCCGTGGGAAAAATATCCTCAGGTGAGGACAACTCCCTTCTGCTCGCTCAGGCCAAACCCTCTGGCCCCTTTGATTAATACCACCCGCCCCCCCACATCTCCCCTTGACACCACTCACCTCTTCCAGGGCTCTGCATAAAAGTCATCTGCTGGGCCGGGGTGGGGGGGGGAGGCGGGGGCCTTTCCCGACCCCTCATCCCAAACCTCCCAACCCTCCCAACAGTCCCAGTGCTCCTCCCCAGTTTATCCTTTCTCATTAGCACCTGTCACATGGCTTCACCCAGCTGGTTCACTGTCTCCCTGTCCTAAAAGCAAGTGATATAAGAGCAGAGATGTCTGCCTGGCTTCGTTCCCGCAGCATCCTGAGTCTGTTACAGAGCTTGGCGCCAGTCAGGCGCGTGGTTTATTTTCTATGTTGAACGGATGAATGGACGGGAGGATGGACAGACACATGATGAACACATAGCAGGGTACCCTGAAGGTGGGTTCAGCTGTGGTCCTTGGGCATCTCTGAGACCGGCACAGATGCGTCCCGGGCATGACAGCACGGAGAGAAGCCATCTTCTTTTCCCAGTGGGGACCGGGGACAGTGTCATGTGTCTGCATGCTCCCCTTCAAAGGCAGTTCCCATTCAGGCTGCAGTTTTGTGTAGTTATTGTCCCAAGAATAGGTTCCATAAATGTGGGCAGACAAGTGGGGCCGAGCAGGCCATGTTTTAGATCTGTGTCCTCAAAGGCCCACACTAGACCCTGACACACAGCTGGTGAATAAATATTTCTCAATGAATGTGGTTTAAGGGAAGGAGGCAACCTGAGAACTCATAACCTGAAATCTCAACCTGAGATCACTGGCTGGAATTATTCAAAATCCAGTGTGGTGGACTAAGTCCTTTGCGTGAAGAGGTGGGTGAAGGGGTCCTTCCCCCCATATCCTCCCCACCTCTGCCTGCTCCCCCTCATACCCTCCCCAGTGCTCCCCTGTGCCCCTGGGTGCCCACCGCCACCTGTGCTCGGGTGTGAGAGGCACGGCCTCCTCATGGAGATGCAAGGAGTCATGATCAGCAGGGTGTTGCAGGAGCAGCTCCCACCGCTCCTGCTCCAGGGCCTGTTCCCTGCAGGGAGATGAGAGCCAACAGCTCAGTGCTGTTCCTGAGGGTCATCCAGTCATCACTGGGCTGCAGGGACCCCTAGAAGGAGGGGCCGGGCAGCCGAAATGCCTGCCTCAAAACTTCTATCTTGGTGATATAAGGACACATATGTAATAACTTAGTCAATAAAACAATTACAACCAAAACAAAACAAAACACTTTTATCTTGACGCTCTCCCTCCAGGCAGCATGTGCCACCCACTTTCCCCTCTCCTTCCCCCGCAGGCATGTACCCCCTAATCTCTAAGGGACCTCATGAGACTTGCAACCAGGGGAGCAGTGGACAGCTCTTCCTGGGCTCACCCCCTGGACCTGCCTCCAAGGCCCCCTCTTCTCTGACTTCCCAGTGAGCCCGGCAGCCCAGCCTAGGCTCCCCTGTGGCTTCTTCTATGCCCTTCTTTGTTTCACTCTCCTAAGTATATTTTTGCTGCAGTCAATGCATTCTTGCTTGCTTTTCTGCAAAAAAAAAACAAAACAAAAAACCCAACCCCAAAACAAACAAAAAACAACAGAAACACACCAAAACCTCCAAAACTTCTCTCTTTATGGGGGGCGGAGCTGCGTTGCACTGAGAGGAGCAGACAGGCCTGAAAGATGATTTCTGCCCTGGCCTGTGTGGCTTAGTTAGCTGGAGCACTGTCCCGTACACTGAAGTGTCACAGGTTTGATGCCCATTCTGGGCACATACTCAGGTTGTGGGTTCAATCGCCAGTCAAGGGGCATGCAGGAAACAGTCGGGCAACCTTCCTCTCTCTCTAAAATCAATAAAAGCATGTCCTCCAGTGACGGTTAAAAACAATTATAAAAGAAGACGTGTGGCACTACACACTTAAAGTGTGCTTTTATTTATTTTTATTTTTAATTTTTAATATATTTTTATTGATTTCAGAGAGGAAGAGGGAGACAGAATCATTGATGGGCTGCCTCCTGCAAGCCCCCCAATGGGATTGAGCCCACAACCCACGCATGTGCCCTGACCAGGAATGGAACCTCGACCTCCTGGTTCCTAGGTTGATGCTCAACCACCGAGCCATGCCGGCTGGGTTAAAGTGTGCTCTTATTAGTGGACCTTATTTTGGCATCTGCTCACTTTTTAGCAGACCACGCCTGTGCCCAGCCCTTTTGCTCCTGCTGGGGCCCAGCCACACTGGCCAGGAGAAGCCCTGTGCTCACGGCTGCCGCTTTGCCATCTCTCCACCTCAAAGGGCAGCCTCCAGATCCTGCTCAGCCCTTACTCATCCCCCCCACCCCCCGGTGCCTCAGCCACAGAGGCCTGGAGCCCACGTTTCTCCCACTGGCCCCTGAGCGCTTTACAGTCAAACCTCAATTCTCAAAGGTTCCCAAACAAGTTTTTCACAGAAAAAAATGTCTTGGTTGTTGACCCAAACTTCAGTTTTCAACCTAACAAACCTTTCAAGCTCATGCCTCAGTCTGACAAAAAGCATCTCTCAGGCCACAAACAAAGGGGAGAATGCTTTTGTTGCTGGCAAAATGGAGATTAGCACAGTTTTAAAACATAGAGGCCATCAAGAGTGCTGATGTTGTTAAGGGTGTAAAAAGTGCTCACAAAGAGAAACCAAGATGGCGGCATAGGTAAACACAGGAGTTTGCTGCCTTGAACAACCACTTCAAAAATACAACTAAAAGATGGAACGGACATCATCCAGAAACACAGGAAGGCTGGCTGAGTGGAAATTCTACAACTAGAAGGAAAGAGAAAAGCATACCGAGACTCAGAGGAGGTGCAGTGCTGAAGTAAAATACTAAGGTGCAGAAGTGCATGCGGAGCGGGCTGGCGGCTGAGGGCACGGTTGTTGTTTTCAATCGGGAGGGAGTCTCAGGCTCTGAGCTCCAGTTCCGGGCGAGTCTCTAGGGACCCAGACTCATACGGGAGAAGCGGGACTGTTTGGCATCAGTTGGAACTCGAGGGCAGCTTTCGCTCAGAAGTGAATGCAGCAATTACCAGGACACCGAGAAGCAGAGCCTCTGAGGGCTGGACAGGGGGCAGCCATAATTGCTAACCCCGCCCTGTTGATCCCATGGGACCTGCCCTGCCCAAGCCCTGCAGGGAGGCTTTTGCTGGATAGCCTCAGGCAAAGGCTAGATTAGCACCTCCCTAGAGATCCAGGAGCCAGGGAACCCAGAGGTCAGAGTGGGACCATCCAGTTTGCAGCTCCGTGAAACCATAAAGGACACACTCAGGGGGCAGACTCAGTGAGCACCAAAGCCCCATTGAAGCAAGTCTTGTCTCAGAGGGGTGTCTCCAGCACAGAAGTTC